GATGGATGGACTGATGGATGGACAGATGGATGGACCGATGGATGGACCGATGCATGGATGGATGCATTGGATGAATAGAACAATGGAAGGATGAATGGATGGATGGATGGATGGATGGATAGAATGATGGACGCATGGACAGAAGAATGGATAGAATGATGGATAAAATTATGGATGAATAGAACAATGGAAGGATAGATAGATAGATAGATGGATAGATAGATGGATAGATAGATAGATAGATAGATAGATAGATAGATAGATAGATAGAACGATGTATGGATGAATAGAGCGATGGATAGAGTGATGGACAGTGATAGATAGAGCCATGGATAGATGGATGGATGGATAGATAGAATGATGTATGGATGAATAGAGCGAATGATAGAGTTATGGATGGATGGATAAAACGCTGGACAGAATAATGGATGGATAGATGGACGGATGGATAGAACGATAGTTAGATGATAGAATGATGGATAGAATGGATGGATGGATAGATCTGAAAGGTCTGTTATTATTATTTGTTTCCCTGTCAGTCTCTCAGTCAATATCTGTAATCTGTGCTGTACTGTATGTTCACTGAGATGTTTGGCTAAATATGAACAGAATCTGAACTCGTGGAAACTGGACAGAGAAATAAAGCAGATCTCTGATCTCTCGACATGACTGAGGGTTTTACACAAGTCTTTTTTCCACTTCAGCTTTTGAGTTTCCAAGAATCCATCAGTCATGACGAGAAATCGAGAACTGCTTTAGTCTCTGCTGGAAAAACATGGTAAAGATACAGTACATCTGCGGCCGGAAGTTAACCATAATCATTTATATTATTACAAAAATGCAACTAGCATACAACAATGATGACTGCTTCAATACTGTGAGGGTTGGGGTGGAGGTAGATGTTAATAAAATATAATTATTGGATACTTTAATAAATATTATGAATAATACATGCTATAATTACTGTTTTTACATAACTGTGTGGTTGTGATTAGGGTTAAGGGCATACCCTCCCGTTTTTCCCAGGATTCACCTGTATTTTACTGTTCTATCCCGCTATCATCCCGTAAAAGTATTTTCCCGTATTTCTCCCGTATTTTCAGTCTTTCTCTGAACAGCCGAGCCTCCCTATACGCAACCCATACCGCCAAACCACCAGGGGTCGCCCCATGCTCTAAAACGTGAGACTTCTGTGCTTTCGCTTTGTTTAGGAATGAAAACACTTATAAATAAATACTAAAAACGGCGCGATTCCATTTCCTTTTGATTACAGGTGCCGTCCCCCATCCTATACAATCCTCAAAACAGTCATATAGCGGTGCGTGACTGTCAGCTGACGTGCTCCATAGTGATAAACAGACGCTGTTTCCCAAACGGATTCTGTACACACGATTTGAAGCAGCGAGAAAGTCTGGCTTCTGGGTGCGTGTTTAAACAGACATACACACATAATTAATAATAATAACATATAAGGATGTCGATCTTGGTGTTTTTTTTTCCAAACACAACTAATTTCGTCTTAAATGAGCATAAAATGTAAGGAAAGCAGTCGAATGATTTCATTATAACGGTAGATGTGTGCATTTTTAATTGTGACACCTGTTTTTAAATGTAATAAAAAAAAAATCTTATTAAATGCGAGATTCATCCGTTGCTCTTTAACCAGATTCAGAACGTGTAAGATATACAGTGGAGAAACGGCTAATGAGATTTGATAGCTTGATTCTATGTCATTATAATAGCTGTTAATTTTAATAAGCTGAACTGTTTGCTAGTGTATTTGCTGCTAATGTATATATTTATTTTTCTTTTGTTAATAGTAATTTTAAAACATATTACTGACTATTTAACTGTTTATTTACCAAGAAACAGCTCCAAATGAACATATTTAGTAATTTGGGGATTTTTTTAAGGGGGTGGGGGGTTAGGGAAATCCCTTATTATGGTGGGCATATCCCTTATTTTCAGATCCCAATGTTGACGGGTATGTTTGAGGGTGGCATTAGAAAAAAACTATTTGGTGGGTAGTTTAATAAATAATATGAACAATAATCGCTATTATTACAGTTTTTACATTACTGTGATGGTTGGGTTAAGGGTTTGGGTGGAGGTAGATGTTAAAAAATACAATTTACTAGGTAATTTAATAAATAATTTGAATAAATTACAGTTTTTACATTACTGTGATGGTTGGGTTTAGAGTTGGAGTATGAGTAGACTTAATAAAATACAGTTTAATGGGTAATTTAATAAATAATATGAACAATAATAATAATTCCTTACATTTATATAGCGCTTTTCTGGGCACTCAAACCATGCCAGACCGCACACCACACACCAGCTAATTGGTGGAGAGGAGACAGAGTGATGAAGCCAATTATGATATGGGGAGGGTTAGGAGGCCATGATGGACAGAGAGCAGTGGGCAGATTTGGCCAGGATGCCGGGGTTAAACCCCTACTCTTGTTCGGAGGACATCCTGGGATTTTTAACGACCACAGAGAGTCGGGACCTCGGTTTAACGTCTCATCCGAAAGACGGCGCTCACTGAGCTGTATAGAGTCCCCTTCACTATACTGAGGCATTAGGACCCACACAGACAGCAGGATGAGCTCCCCCTGCTGGCCTCACTAACACCACTTCCGGCAGCAACCGAGCTTTCCCATGTGGTCTCCCATCCAGGTACTGACCAAGCCGCAGCCCTGCTTAGCTTCAATGGGCGACCATGTGAGAGTTGCAGAGAGCTAGCTATTGGCTCATATACGAGTTAGCCACTAAATTAAGAAGTTACAAACTACTGTGAGATCATGTTGGAAAACACAGCCTTTAGAATAGTCAGAAATGAGTGTTATCCACTGATTGAACACTCATGA